TATTGGCTCAAAAATTGATTCCGTAACCTCATATTGAACATACTTCACCAGTGGCGTGTAATCCCGTACTCAACGCGCCTTCATTTTTCTCGACTAGTGGACGCTCCTTCTTTACCCTCCTAGCCACTGCAGATTTTTATTGTGTCAGGGCATACTCCTTTTTTCGAAGTATATGATGCAATCTATTGATTGTTTTCGTTTGTATGTTGAAGTCCGTCCTTATAATTCTATCGACAGTTACCGGTTCCGACCAACGGCGACGTGCCACGTTCGCCCTCGAGTGCTAAGGGTTTCGAGCGTATCACCATCAGTAGCGCCGAATCCTACATGGCGAGGTTGTGTGAGCTGGTAAGCTCCGGTCAGCACGAGGATTTGAAGGCCAGGGCTGTTGAACTTTTGAAAAATGCTGTTCGCACAAAATCGTTAACTCTGTGCACTGTTTAGCCAAGTTGCAACGAGCGATTTTGTGGTTTGTATATAATAAATTATTTTTGAACACCCTTTCTTTGACGGGAATGCATATATTTCTTGTGCTAACAGTAACCGTTTAGGCCCTCCAAAAGGGGAAGGGGGACACTGGTATGTCACACGTAAACGAGGACCAAAAACACATGGGGGACGAGAAAGACGATACCATATTTTACGTTAGCTACGTCTCTCCATCTCTAGTTCCCTCGGCCTTGTATTGCCGTTGATTCATACCGAAGTGTGGAGAGCACCTACGGTCTATCCAGTGCGTGCTTTCCCCATAAATCAAACTAGTCGTCCAGCAGTAGCGACGCCTTAAAGGCCACCAATAGCATTGTTGGCAGCCGCTGAAATAGCTGGTTGGGTTAGAATTGGCCTCAATCTATTAGACAGCAGACGCGAAAGTGCTAGCACCAGCAAAGGGTTCGTGGGCACTCAGGAAAACCTGTCCTTCCACCGTCTGACGACGGGATTTGGCTATCCTCTATGTACGACCCCTCGAAGAGGCTTTGCATTCTTTGCATCACCTCAGTATTTATTTCACTGTTGGACACGATATCTGACCGGAGGCCTCATCGGATTCAGGAGTTTCTGTGGACGATCACTCGTTCTCCACCTGTAAGAATGACAACAGCACTACCAGCAGTGGTGGTATGTTTTGGGCTTTATGAGTAGTATACTCGTCCTAATTTGGTCCAGTAGCCAATGACAGTTTGACCGTCGTGTTCGACGATCTCCACCGTGTGCCCCACAACAACGTGAATCAGGCATGGTGACTTGCGCTTCATTTACCTTATAGTAAGTGTAGACTCGCGCTGCATCTACCGGATTCTCCCCACCTAGGTCCGGTGCCAAAAAGACCGTTGGTGGGGGAGGGCACGGGTGGCTGGCCTGGCCGATTCCGCACTCCCGTTCTCCACCCCACACTCCTTGGTCCACAACAGACATTTGACCGGCATTTTAGCCAACAACAGCACAGCAACGGGTCAGAACGATGACGAGGATGACTGAGCAGCCAATGCACACGACCTGTATACCCAGCGGGAGCGCAGCTGCATCTATTGCTAGAGAACCAGATATCGGAGAACTGCCAGCGCACACCAGGCTGCGAGAGCCATGGTTTGCTGATCATGACAGAATACGCTCACGAACCCTGGGGCCCAGAAGGGGGACACAGCCCTGCAATTGCATGGGCCATCACTCTTCAAAGACCGGATAAGCAGCTAGTCATTGACTGAGAGGCACTATCCATAGAATGCACACACTCCTCACATGCGTGAGAGTGCCACAGGTCATTTAAAGAAGTAGCCGTGACGGCCTCGCTCCCAGCCCATCAGTCCGCCACTCCACACAAACACAGACAACTGGACAGACTGCGTAGGCTGAGTTGAGGCGCCATTTGGCAGCCTTCCAAGCCACGGTGCGGCAGCACCGTGATAACCTCAGGCCCGGATCACACATGCAGCAGAGGAGTCACGTGAAGAAGGAGCCCAGAGGCACACTTCCCACTTAAGCGAGAGGTAGCAGTTGACTGTCTTGCGTTGTGTGGCGATGGGTGAAGCTGTGTGGTACAGGTGGTAGGCACGCTAAGCGACGGGATGTGTATTGGGCTAGGCATGGTGGGTGTAGAAGGTACGCAAAGTGTGTCGATAATGCGGTGAATTCCACTGTCGTGGATAAGCATGTGGCCAAACAGGCCCATGTGGTGAGTGAATGTGCAGGGACAGTGTGGACAGTTGAGACAGGTGCGGCGAGTGTAGATTGGTGCTGCATGCACTGGCTTGCCAGTCTCTTTGCAATCGGTTCGCAAGTGACCGACCAAGCCGATGTTTGAGGAGAATGTTCGATCGCAATGGAGACAGGTACGAGCCGAGTCTACATCGCTGGAGGTGAGAGTATAGGTGATAGGACCGTTTTGTCCGTGTTGATAGTCAGGCCGAAGCTGGCACACCCGGCAGAGAGAAGGTAAATGCGCCGTTGAATGTCCACTTCGGTCATGGTGTTGAGCGCACAGTCATCGGTGAAGAGCAGATCGTGTACCGTGGTCGTAGATAGTCGCTCTCGAGCCTGCATGTGCCTGCTGTTGAGAAGATGTCCATCAGTTCTGTAGGCGCTGTGTATCCCGGGACGGTCATCACTGCAGGTGTCCATTAACATGGCAGATAACGTGAGACTGAAGAGAGTAACCGCAAGGACGCAGCCCTGTCTCACTCCCTTGGTCACTGCGAATGCCTAGGAAATTGCGCCGTTGTCCGTGACGCGCGCCATCATCCCATCGTGGGGCTAACGTAACATGTGCGGTAATCGTTCACGATAGCCGAATTTCTGCATGATTTGCTA